TCTTTCACTTAATCATTTTGTATCTCTTGTATTTATTTGAAGTCTTTCTTCCAGAGCAAAAATAAAAAATTAAAAAAAACAACTATTTTTTTCAAAATTGTAAACATTTGTAATCTTTTCTAATTTAAAATAATAATAATAATAATATAAGCAGGATTATTTGGAGAAGCAAAAAAAAAAGTCATAGTCATCTTTTTTAGATAGGGAAGCAATTACAAAGCAGAATTAGCCTAAGAAGCAAACACCACTAAGGATGAAGGCACATCTTCCATCCAAACGCGGGGTGAATCAAATTCAAAAACTAACTTACATAAACAATGAGTCACAAAATTACCCTCCCGCAGGATTATTTGGAGAAGCAAAAAAAAAATCATAGTCATCTTTTTTAGATAGGGAAGCAATTACAAAGCAGAATTAGCCTAAGAAGCAAACACCACTAAGGATGAAGGCACATCTTCCATCCAAACGCGGGGAGAATCAAATTCAAAAGCTAACCTACATAAACAATGAGTCACAAAATTACCCTCCCTATACGCCTGTGAGACAGATGAAGTTTGAAACATACTCAAACCTTGTTGAGCAGCAGTCACGTAATGGCCATAGGTTGACAAATTCTCACCTCGTCCTCGAATCGCATTAACAACATTTAAAGAATCACCCTCAATATGAACCTTAGCAAGACCCAAATCCCTGCCAAACTGGATTGTTTTCAATGCCCCCAAAGCCTCAACACAATCTATATCTACCATATCTTGAATTTGTTCCACCATAGAGGAAATCACATCCCCCAGGCAATCACAAACAACAACCCCAATTCCGGCAATCACTTGGTCCTTATGCACCGACCCATCAAAATTAAGCCTATACACCCCCTTCTGAGGAGCACACCACCGGCATTGGCAGCGAACTGTCGAATGAATCTTGATGTTATTGTGCACTTTGATTTGACATACTCATCCCTATAGTCCACAGTAAAACAAACCACCTCACCAGCATTCCCATGTTTGTTCTAAAAAATTAGAGAATTTCTATTGTTCCAGATGCACCAGCAAAGAATGATCACCAATCCCATTTCCTCCTCATCAAACTGATCCACAATGTCACAGACCCAACTAAAAAAGTGGGGACACTGAATCATAGTTTGAAAAACATTTCCTTTATTATGAATGAATCAGGGTGTGGTCCAAATTCTAGTTGAACCCAAAAATGTTAGCTTCATTTTCCAAAAAAAGGAGAAGGCTCACATTTAGAAAGGTTAGTGGACTTCAAAACAAGAATTGGGCTCGTCTTATGCGGACTGGACCTATCTAGGCTTCACACCTGAGTTTATTACAGGTTCATTTTAATATATATATATATATATTTTACTATGTGTAGATCATTAATAAAAAAATAATAATAAATTAATTTAATAATTGTAATTTCATAATTTCATCACATTTACTTTTAAAAAGTTGATCATATTTGTCTTCTTAATAATGGAATTATTTAAAAATAAACTGTCAATTTTAATCAATACCAATAAAATAAAATAAAATAAAAACACTCCAAATAAATATACGTAAGATTGTAACACAAACTAAGCCACTCAAACATGTCTACGGTTAGACTCATTAAAGTTGGAGATTAAGTAAACAAGTTTCGAGGAATCAATTTTATTTTGTCCTTTGACCTCCATAGCAATTGTGGATCATAAAACTCGTTAATTTTTTAAGTTAAATTTGAACCAATTTGTTACTTAACTTGATTTGATTACATGCGTTATTAAAAAGTCAAGTTATTTGAGATCAGCTCGTGATCAACTCAGTTAAAATTTATATGAAATTGGCTAAAAAAAAGTAAGCAAACCAAGTCTGACCATATTTTGACCAAACTTGGTTTGTTATCGATATTTTTTTAAAAATTTTATCATTTTCTAATATTTGTTCAAAGTTAAACATTATATATATATATATATATATAATCAATTTGTACTCACCTCAACTAAAATTAACGATTAAACAAATTTTCAATAATCCTTTAATGTAACTCGAAATTAAAATTTTGAATATTATCCTCAAAATCAAGTTAAACATTGTTGTAAGATGATAATAGTCTAGACATGAAAAAGTAAAACCAGGTAAAAAAGTTTGAAAAGGAAGTTGAATGGATTAGCTAATGACTTATCTACTTGGCTTCAATTTTTTAAATTTTTTTAATTTGAGACTCAAAGCTTTTATCTAGGTCAAACTTCTTTTTGTCAAAATGGGCCTACGGAAACTATCAAAAGGGCCCTTCTTCTAGATCCAAATTAGAAGAAAAGGTCCACACTCCCACTCTCTATACCAATCCAAAAAACGAAGGCCCAACTCAACCCACACGTCCCAAACCCATCTACTCCGTCCACGTGGGCAGGTGGACACTATAACACGTGTCAATACCAAGTCACGTGCGAAGACTTGGCTTAGCAGCTAAGCAAAACATCCCCTATGTGTGAACCCAAATCTCAAGTCAGAAACCAACTACAATGACCTTCCAGAATGACTCACAAATATCAAACCAAAATGCCTCTCTCAATCAACCAACTAATAAATTTGACAGTGATATTACTTTAATATTGACAAATTTGATATTATTTATTTATAAAAAAATTATCATATTTTATTATCTAAATGGACCTTGTTAATGTAGAGGTACAAAGTTAAGAAATTTTATAAAAAAAATTATACATTCTTTTTGAAAAGTGATCTATAAATGGTATTTGTAAAATTATAAAAATAATAATAGATATTTTGATTTAAAAGAAAAGGATTATAAAATGACCACCAAAATTTTATTTTATATATCACTACTCTTTATAGTCAATAAAAGAAGCAAACTATATTAAAAGTTGGGTATGGATTAACAGCCTTGTTTGTTTATGGAGAAGATTCATAATGAGGGGATTAAGCTGCCTTGCCGAAAACGTCAGCTATTGCATTTGGCAAATGACAAAAAAGCTATCTTGTGAAATTACCTAAATACCCTCCATGTTAAAATTCCAAAGTTTGGCAAGGGTATATTGGTCATTCTATTTTGATTTGATGCCATAAATAAATATTAAACCAAAAATTAAAAAAGTCAATTTTTTATCAACTTCCTAAATCACCTTCAAAAAAGCCAAAAAACTTGGTAAAAAGTCAAAAGTCAGCTTTTTACTAACTTCCCAAAACACCCCTAAGTAAAATTGTGTTTATTTTGATAATAGTTGTTGGTGTAGGAATTATTAAATTATTTTTATATAAAATAATAAAACAAATAAAAAAAATACAAAAACATTAAACATTAATGTTAAAAAAAAAATGCCCAACATATAAAAAATAAAAATAAAATAAAATAAAAATAAAATAATGATTTTTACTTAACAAAAAATACAAAAAAATTAAACATTAATGTTAAAAAAAATGCCCAACATGTAAAAAATAAAAAATAATAAAAAAAGTCTGGCGGACTATTTTTCTAATACCACTTCCACTTTCACCTCTTCCATCCCAATCCTCTTTTCAAGGTCTAACCTAATCCAAACCTCCATCTCAATCCATTTCTCAAATCTACAAACAAACACAACATTAAATAGATTTTTCGTTTATCCTAATCACATCCCTCCCTCTATACCCCAAAACAAACGGGGCTAATGTGTCACATATTACAAAATTTTCACAGTAAAAATATCTGAAAAACATTTTAAAATAGAAAGCGACTATGTATGTTTGATTAATAGAATTATAACATAAAATTAGAATTGTTAGTTTATGAACTCACAATCTTATACTACAAATTTTATTAACCAGATTATGTATGTAGAATATTCAATCCGATAAAATTGGCGAAATTTTAGGGGTTGTTTGTGATGATGTAAATAAGTGCACTTTTTGTCTTTTTACGAAAAAATGTGCAAAAAAATAGAGAGGTGATGTGATGAAAAAAAGACAAAAAGATAAAAAGATAAATTATTTTAGAGTTGCTAAACTTGACCTTAATATTGAGAGGGGTTGAGGAGTATAATGTCAAGTGAAAAAAATACATAATAAATAAGTATCTCACTAATTTAATTAAATAATTAATCCTACACTAATTTATAAAATTATTAATCATTTAATTATTAATCAAACAATTCCAAAAGGTATTAATAAAATTTTTATTATAATATAACTACATCCCATTTAATTTATATTTATATTATAAATTCAAAATTTTCTAAATGTTTTTGTTTATTGCATAATCACTCATAAGTTTTTTTTTTTTTTTTTTTTTCTTCTCATCTACTTAAGGGCCGTTTGTTTTTAGCATTAGCAGTTCACTCCGAATTGTTAGTGTAATGAATAGTTCACTCCGAATTGTTACTGTAATGAATAGTAAAATTAACTTTGGTTTTTGAACTCTGATTTCGTAGTCTTTTCGGTTTAAGATAGGCCCTCGACAACAAATAATAATCTGAACTGAAAAATGATATTAACAAAGTAATTCGTACGAAATACTATAGATTTTATAGATTTTAAATTAAGATTAAGTTGGGCAACTTAAATATAATTTATTTTTATTTTTTTTATCTTTTTTTTATTATATTATTTTTTTTATTTTTTTAAATATATTTTTTTATAAAAAAAATAAAAAATACACCTATTTAAACCATCCGATACCTAAATATATGTTTTGCGTAAAACTCCGTAGTATTCCCTCGACACTCGTGTCTCTCTCTCTCCACACATACTTTTCTCTCACTAGATGGTATAGTCAGACAATCGACATCACCTTTTCTCTCTCTCTCCTCCACCTAAACGCGTTTTGTTCCGTCATCGCCACTCTCATTCGCTCAACTACACACATTTGTCTCTCTCTCTCTCTCTCTCTCTCTCTCTCTCTCTCTACAATGTATCATTTTTCCACAGTCTTGCTTTGACAATTCTACACGCCATCTCACCCTCTCTTTCCCAGTAATTTCTTCTACAAAAAATCCCAATTCAACTCTCTCTTCCCTTCATATATACCCCTCACTCTCCTCCTTCTCTTCTACCAATCTCTCTCTCTCTCTCTCTCTCTCTGTAATCTGTATCTGAATCTATAAATATATATATATATATATACATTAATATATTGGTGTGAAATTTTGAAGCTTTTAACATGGAAAACAATCAGCAATCGTTCTATCAATTCAGCGATCAACTTAGGGTTCAGACCAACAACTTGGTCAATCTCTCTCTCAACGACTCGATTTGGAGCAATACCCATGTCTCCAAAAGGCCTGAGGAGAGGCGGAACTTCGATATCAGAGTTGGTGGCGAACTCAATTCGGTCAACCCATCGAGCAATTCGAAGCAGATCAACGAATCGGATTTCAATTCGATTTGGAGCAATTCGTATGCTTCGTCGAAGAGGCCCGAGGAGGAGAGGAGGAACTTCGATATCAGAGTCGGTGGTGAGCTCATTTCGCTGAACCAGTCGAGCAATTCGAAGCAGAACAACGAGTCCGATTTCAATAATTTTAATCAGGGTTGGAAGCTTGGTGGGTCTGATTTCAATGGCTTCAACGATGGTTGGAAGTTGGGTTCTTCTGGGTTGGGATCGTCACAGGTTGGACTCAATGGTGGGTTCAACAAAGGAATTTACTCGAAGCCTTCGATGAATTACAATTTCAATAACAACAACAACAACATCAACAACAATAACAATGTTAATGTTGCTGTGAATTCGAAGAAGATTGGTAATGGAAAGGGTGTAGATGATCATCATCATTATGGGTCTAAAATTGGGAAGAAGAACAAGAATAACAACAACAATAACAATAATAACAGTAAGGATAACAGTAACAGTGACAGCAATAAGAACAGTGTGGATAAGAGGTTCAAGACTCTTCCACCATCTGAATCTCTGCCCAGAAGTGAAACCGTTGGTGGGTATATCTTCGTCTGCAACAACGATACCATGCAAGAGAATCTCAAAAGACAGCTCTTTGGTATGTCTCTCTCTCTCTCTCTATAAACGTTCAATTATATATAAATATGTCAATTACTTGATAGCATGATTGCTCTGGAACAACAAAGAACGGATAGCGTGATTAGTGTTATTGAATTATACTTAATTGCGATATTCTTGTTCTGTGTGGGTAGTTTAGATTGATTTATCGTTACTTATCCAACCAAATGTCCAATTTTTGTTGAGAAAGATTCAAAATTTCGAATTTGAGATGATCAATTTGTATTAAACACTTCAATAAAATGAGATATTGCTAGATCTGCGCTGAAATTCTGTTATAAAACCAATTTATGATATGGATCAAGCTTCCAAAATCGATATGTTTGGTTCGTCTTTAAGGTGTTTGTAGTTTTATTGCTCTTGATGTTGTGTTTCTATTTGAAATCCTCAGTTCAAAAACAGAGAGAAAAAATAAAAAAATAAGATTAGTAGTTTCATTAACTTCTGCAAATCTTGTGCTCTTTTCTTAATTCATGTTTCTTTAATGAACTCCCAGGCTTGCCGCCACGCTACCGTGATTCAGTCCGGGCAATAACTCCAGGCTTGCCCCTTTTCCTCTACAACTACTCCACCCACCAACTCCATGGAGTTTTTGAGGTTTGTTTTACTTTCTTTTCTTAAAATGTTGCTTACATAACAATTCTTTAATCTTGGTTGGCGAGGACTCTTTTCACTGTTAAGATACTTCAATTCTGGTTTGTTGTGGTAACATACGCACTGAAATTCATAATAATCCATAAATGTTTTTATAATTTAACCCCAAGGTTTGGAAATTTCGGTAGTCGTGTGACTAGCTTTGTTAATTACAAGCACGATACTCGGTTCTTTCATTTGGGGCTTCATGTTCATTGTCCAAAAGGATAGATTAAAGATTCACTTGTTTATCTTCCAATAAGAGGCCTCTATCTTCTCAAATTTGTATTTTTAAAAAAATATTTAGATCTAATTCAAGATTGTGCATCTTACTAAGTTGAAAATGGTCTCCTCAGGCGGCAAGTTTTGGAGGAACAAATATTGATCCAATGGCATGGGAGGACAAAAAGAATCCCGGTGAATCACGTTTCCCTGCTCAAGTATGTTAAGTAGATTTTAATGAATTTATAACATTTCTTCCATTTTTTCCTTATAAACAACCAAAATTCTCCTGTATTTACGCACCAAATTGACAAATAAAGTTGTCGCGAAGTTGCTAATGCTTCATTAAATTCTGCTTTTGAATTCCAATTTGGGATTTACAGGTACGGGTTTTGACAAGGAAGGTATGTGAGCCATTAGAAGAGGACTCTTTCAGACCAATTCTTCATCATTACGATGGCCCAAAGTTCCGCCTTGAACTCAACATTCCAGAGGTACAATAACAGTTTAGATGAGTGTAAATTTTGTATGATCTCTTTTTGTGAGCATATTTTGTGCCTTGGTATTTGCCAGATCCAATTCTAAACCTATGTTTATGTTTGAATGTTGCAGGCACTCTCTCTGTTGGATGTATTTGAAGAGACCAATGTTTAAAGACAATCAACATATTGCCATAGAGGCAAACAGATACACATACAAAAGAAACAACAGTGATGATGAGTAGTAAAAGAGGAATATAAAGGAGTTTGGCTATTATAGTAATATGTTGGAGCTAGAAGGGTTTGGATAAGGAATAGCAGAGGGGGTCTATGTGATGTATGATATATGTAACTCTTTTTTGTATGTGCTTTTGTATGGAGGAGGCTGTTGTGTTTCCTCTTTAGTTATTGGGCTTGGCACTAGTATATAATGAATTTGAGTATATATGAAAAAAAAAAATAACTTCTGCTATTTATTTTGGCTTCAATTGTGTGGAAACTGTCCCATCTGCAGACGTAGCTTCTAAGTAATTACTTGCAGTGTGAGTGAACCACCATTTACCTTGGGGGTTCCTTGTGGAGATTACCCTCTAATTAGATGATTTGGTGGTTAAGAATTGGATTAGAAGCACCAGACCTAAAAGTCATAACCATTGGCTCAAAAGGTGGTGTATACTTTTATTATTAGAGTAGGTAGTTAGGGCATCAAATAAGAAGATAAAAACTCTTTTCTTCACAGCATTCCTCCAAAATAGAATAGAGATGGGTCACCTACTGGATTGGAATTTGGGTGATAAATTTGTTGGCCGATTCATCCTTCAAATGAAGTTGGTTTGAATAGAATGGGTCATGTTCCCTTATTTATTTTTATTTTTTGAACATACTACATCATTCACATACCTAATCATCAAATTTAATACAAGGGATATAATAAAACTATATAAAAAGAAGGGGTTGGTCTATAATTATATCTCTTGAATGAGTCGTGTTAGCAATTCTGGTGTAAAGTTTTCAGATTGAATATTTTTTTTTGGAATTTTTCTCAACTAAACTCCAATCAAGCAGAGTTGTTGGTACCTTTGATTTTTCTTCTACCTTCGGTCTAGTTTTGACCTTGCTTTCTAAGGGGCGAAATGAGGGTGATTATACTAGTAGAACTGCTGTTCAAATTATGAATTTAGATACAAATTTGAATAGAGAAACAAAGAAACAGTTTTAAATTATATTTTATTCACATTTCTTTTCTTCTTTTTCTTTTTTAAATTATTACCTAAATCTATTATTATTATTCAAACACTGTCGAAAGATATTACAACCTGTGCTAGTGGTAAAAAAATGCAACCTCAATACTCACTAGTGGCAATTAGCAATTCATTTGATGTATTTTTTTTACAAGTTAAAAATTAATAATTGAAAATAAAAGTTAAAAAAATATTTCTCTCTCAACCTTTCAACGACTAGCTTTTTAAATTTGTTTAAGAGAGCTTTTTTGATAAATTCACTTTTTAAAAATTTTATTCCATCCAATTCATATTCTTTTTTACTATTCCATTAGGTCCTATTTGAGATAAGAAGACCAAAATACCCTTTTCATCTACTTATGTTCCATTTAGTTCACATTATTTTCTTATGTTTCAATAAGTCCTATGGGTGACATAATTACCAAAATACTCCTACTGTGAATGTTCACACCGTTAATGTGAATGTTCATATCGTCAATGTGTAGGGGCCCGACCCATGTCGATCCTCGTGGGTGCCCGAAAAAATTCGAGTCCCATTAACAATGCGAATATTCATATTGACATGTTAACATTCACATTAATAGGAGTGTAAAATTAGCCCGTGTCCCGTGGTGGCCCGAAACCCGCCCGCGGCCCTGGGCAGGCCCGGTCCGGCCCGTTGACAATGTGAATATTCACATTGACATGTTAACATTCACATTGATGAGAGTATAAAATTGGCCCGCGGCCCATTGGCGGCCAAAAGCCCGCCCACGGCCCGGGATGGGCCCGGCCCGGCCCGTTGACAATGTGAATATTCATATTGACATGTTAACATTCACATTGATAGGAGTATAAAATTAGCCCGCGCCTCGTGACTGCCCGAAACCCGCCCACTGATAGGAGTGTAAAATTAGCCCGCGCCTCGTGGCTGCCCGAAACCCGCCCACGGCCCGTGGGCGGCCTGGGGCGGGCCCAGCCCAGCCTGTTGACAATGTGAATATTCACATTGACATGTTAACATTCACGTTGATAAGAGTATAAAATTGGCCAGCGGCCCAAGGCAGGCCCGGCCCGCCCCGGCCCGTTGACAATGTGAATATTCACATTGACATGTTAACATTCACATTGATAGGAGTGTAAAATTAGCCCGTGCCTCATGGCTGCCCTGTCACGACCCAACCCCAGGGGCTTAGAGTTGGAATCGTGACTTACTAACTTATTCTTATTCGTAGCAAATTAAGTTGCGCAAGCGAAAATAAAAATAATTAAACAGAAATTTTACTACATTTTACTAAAAAAAAGAAATACATTTCTAGGGCTTTCATTATTTTATTATTCAGTGACCAGCCCCGAATAGAGACAAAAGGAAGCAAAAATATATTAAAAAGAAAGATAAAATAGTGGTTTAACAACAGTCCATGAGCAGGTTCCATTTCATGGGGTTATGGATTTCCTTTACATCTTGTCACCTGAAAGGGTAACAGCTATAAGCACACAACAGAGTGACAAATATTATGCCAAGAGTGTAAAACAACCATGGATAATTAGTTAGGCTAAAACATTTGCATATTTTAATTTAAAATGACAATTTATTTAAAGTGGCAGAATACAGAAAATCATGTAAATAAATAATCATAACCACGGTATAAAACAGAACAGAACAGAAGTCACAGAAGTGACAGCCAGAACAGAGGTCAATGAATATATGACAAATAGAGGACCACAAAATGGTCAAACAGAGGCTAGTGGCTATTTAAGTCTCCCAAGGCGTGGGACTCCCGTGGTGATACTTACAAAATATAATTGTTTATAAGGTTATAGTCAAATATATACTAAAATTTAAACAAACATATCCATGGATTTCCTTTTAACTAAATAGAGTTTAGAAAGTAATCCACGTAACTGAAATGTTTATAAATATAACTTTTATTTATATAACTTAATAAATATAACTTGTATAAAATAAGTTATGGTAACTCAAAACATTCATAAAACATATAATGGTAAATCAAGGTATAATATAACTCACCTTAATTATAACCCTTAGCCTTACTTTACTATCAGAACTTCCTTTCCTTACTCTCAACTTATATACTTCTCTCGGTTTCCCACCCTTTCCTTTTGTTTTTTTTTCCTTCCGTTTTTCTCTTAATCACAACACTCTTAGTCCCTTTATATACTATTTTCTGAGCCCAGTGATGTATGCCATGTAGCCTCTCCCTATGGAGGCATTATGATGCTAGAAGAGTTGTGCCTTAATTGTAAATCAATTCACAGATTTGGATAAGTCTAAATCTCTCCAAATATGCCTCCGTTTGGGAAGTTGGTTGGCTTTTTGGCTTTTTGGCTTTTTTGGCTATTTTAGCCTGGGCTTAAAAGCTTGGTTTGGGAAGGGCTTTTTGGCTTTTTGGCTTTTTTGAGTTTTTTTGTGAGAGAAGAATGTAATGATTATGGGTTAGATGTGATGTTTTGTTTGTTATGGCTAAAATAGCCTATTTTGTCTTTTGTGACTAAAATAGCCAAAAAAGCCCAAGAACCAACTTGCCAAACAGAGGTATATGCTTGGGCTTTTGTTTAGCTTGGGCCAATATTGGCTTAGGCTTTTATTATTTATTCTTTTTGGGCCAAGGTTGACAACCCTGTTGGGCAACTTGTGTCTTAATTTTTTTTTTCATTTCCTTTTCTTTTTATTCATTTCTTTATTTGTTTTGGTGTTAAGTTATTATTTATTTACTATCTTTAACTCTAATTTGTATTATAAATTTTATATTTGTGTTAATTTAGCCTTAAATAATAATTCCTAATTAATCTCATATTTGATAATTCAACGCCAATTTAGATTTATGTATGTATTTATTTAATAATTTATCATCACCTACAATCATAATTATATATAACTATAAATATTTATGTGGTATTTAATTAAACATTTAGGGTGTCACATGCCCGAAACCAGCCTACGGCCCGTGGGCGGCCTGGGGCGGGCCTGGCCATTTTTTTTAAATTCTTTTTAATTTTTTCTACCAAAATTTTATTATTTTTCACAAAAAAAGACACTAGGCCTCGGCGCGGGCCAGACCTCGGACCGAGTCTTGAATGGGCCTTAACCGGGCCGATGGGTCGGACAGGGCTTCAAAGTGATAGCCCAGGCCCTAGCCTAGGATCTCGGACTAGGCTCGAGCCTGGGCCCAAACGAGCCTTTCCCAGGCCGGGTCAGGCTGGCCCACGGGTCAAAAAATTAGGCCCAGGCCCTAGCCCTGGCACAAGGGTATTCGGGCTTTGGACGGGCCGATGGATCGAGCCTCGGGTCGGACCGGTGGGCCTGGGCCTAGCCTTGAGCTTAGGTCGGGCTTGGACGGGCCTGGCCATTTTTTTTAATTCTTTTTAATTTTTTCTACTAAAATTTTATTATTTTTCACAAAAAAATACATTACGCCTCGAGCGAGCTAGGCCTCGGACCGAGCCTTGAATGGGCCTTAAACGGGCTGATGGGTCGGGCCGGGCTTCAAAGTGATGACCTAGGCCCTAACCTAGGGTCTCTCGGACATGCTCGGGCTCGGACCGAAACGAGCCTGCCCCGGGTCGTGGGTGGGCTTCGGGCAGCCCACGGGCCGCGGGCCAATTCTACATTCCTATCAATGTGCATTTTAACATGTTAATGTGATTATTCACATTGTCAACGGGCCGGGCCGGGCCTACCCCGGGCCGCGGGCAAGCTTCGGGCAGCGGGCAAATTTTACACTCCTATCAATGTTAATGTTAACACATCAATGTGAATATTCACATTGTCATGGGTCGGGCCAAGCCCGCCTCGGGCTGCGGTCGGGCTTCGGGCCGCCTACGGGCTGCGAGCCAATTTTACACTCTTATCAATGTGAATGTTAACATGTAAATGTAAATATTCACATTGTCAACGGGCCGGGTCATGCCCGCCCTGGGCCGCTGGCCAATTTTATACTCTTATCAATGTAAATGTTAACATGTCAATGTGAATATTCACATTATCAACAGGTCGGGCCGGGTCGGGCCCGCCCCGGGCCACCCATGGGCCGTGGGCGGGTTTCAGGCAGCCATGAGGCGCGTGCTAATTTTACACTCCTATCAATGTGAATGTTAACATGTCAATGTGAATATTCACATTGTCAACGGGCCGGGCCGGGCTGGGCCCGCCCCGGGCGACAGGCGGGCTTTTGGTTGCCCATAGGTCGCGGGCCAATTTTATACTCTTATCAATGTGAATGTTAACATGTCAA